TTGCAGAGCACAGGCTCCGGACGCGCAGGCTCAGCGGCCATGGCTCACAGGCCCAGCCGCTCCGCGGCATGTGGGATCTTCCCGGACCGGGGCACGAACCCGTGTCCCCTGCATTGGCAGGCAGACTCTCAAACTGCGCCACCAGGGAAGCCCAGGGCCTACATTTTTTTCATTTGTTTAATGGGAGATGTCAAGTCGGGGAGGAGATCATCCTCTGGGTTCCCTCCTCTGTGACTAGACAACCTGTCCAGGAGCCCTGAGGGTTTGGCTAGGGATGAGGCTTTCCCTGAGCTCCTACCTTCCTCTGCTAGACAGTTCCCAGCCCCACCCCACCCCCTTCTCCATATTGCCTTTAGGAGGTCTTCACTGGCCTTAGGCACTCCTTGCGCCACTCAGGAGTCCCTGCCTGAGTCCCCTGCTGCCTCTGTTTCCCTGTCATCCCTAGGTGATTTGTTGGCCTGGGAGAGAGAGCAGGAAGCCAGCCCCAAACAAATAAGCACCGGGGGCTGCATCCTTTCTGAGTCTGCCCAGAGAAGCCAAGCTCCAGCCTACCCTCTCTATATCACATTTACATAACATCTGTCACTTTTCTTGCTTGGAATTCAACCTCATTCTCACATTTGATTCTGGCAACCAGGCTAGGAGGTAGACAGTTCAGGCATGTGTACTCCCATAGCCAGAAGAGGAAACCAAGGTCCAGAGCAGATAAGTGACCTGCCTAAGATCACACTAGTGGACTGTCAGCCGCACAGTATCCTGGCCTCAACCCAGTGTTCTGGCCCCCAAGCAAGACTCTGTCCAAGGAACACACACACACACACACACACACACACACACACACACACACACACACGGCAGGAAGCTGAGTCAAAGCAAGGTTTCCAGTCAATCTGAGAAAGTAAAGTCCAGGAAAGCAGAGATTTCTGTCTGCTTTGTTTATCACTTAATCTCCAGTGCCCAAGTCAGTGGCTGCTATGTAGTGGGTGCTTATCAAGTGTTTGTTGAGTGAATGAAAGATTCTTGGGAGAGAGGCAGTCTCCTGCCATTTGCTACACACTCTGGTCTTGGCCCAGCCCCGGGCCTTGATTCATAGGGGCCTCAAGAGGCCCTGACTCTCCTGAACTGCTGGAGCTCATTCTCTCCGTCCTTTGTCTTTTTTCTAGGGTCTCCATTTTAGGGTGTTCTAACAACTGAGCCCTATTAACATGTTCATCATGGGCTTCCGCTTGGCTCTGGCATGGACACTCCTGGTTGGGCCATGGGTGCCCATGGGTGAGTACAGATTGGAGGAGAAGCACAGCTAGGAGCAGAGGAACCCAGCATCCTCTGGGGTCCTCCAAGGACAGAAGCTGTGTCATATTCACCTCTGTATCCCTAGTCCCTAGCTAACCCAGCATGCCGCACATGGTAGGTGCTCATTTCAAGCTTCTTGACTAGATGAATGGATAATGGAATGAAAAATTTCCCCAAATACACAGAATTAGGGAGCTTTCATCTGCTGTGTCAGCACTTCGTGTTTTATTCCTTACAAACTGGGGGCCCTTTCTCTCTCTTCTGTCTTCTCTCTTTCTTCACGCAGTAAGGACCCCTGACACCCCATAGAGGAAAAGACTGATTAGACACACAAAACAATAAAGGATCTTGGTATCGGACTGGACCCAAAGCTAAAGGGAAGTCGCCAGTGTTTTAACACAATATGATAAAAGCAAAAACAAAAATCAATAAGATCTGGGAGTTTCCTGGTGGCCTAGTGGTTAGAATTCTGGGCTTTCACTGCTGTGGCCTGAATTCAATCCCTGGTCGGGGAACTGATGGCATGGCAAAAAAATAAAAATGAAAAAAAAAAATCCATAAGCGTTTGTTACTTCAGCTTTGGACAGTCTCTTCTTAGAATCTGAGGCTATTCTCTGTAGTCTGGGTCTCTGAGGAGAAAAGTGAGCTTAAGGTGCCACAAATTAGGTTTAAAAGAGCAAGTCTCTGATCATCAGGGGTGGGGGATGCACCAGGAGAAAGCAGAGAGAATCTGTGGCGTGATGGGTCTTGGCTGGAGGCAATAGCATGGTGAGGTGGCCCGTGCAGTTTCTCCCTTGCCAAAGCTGCTCACGTTCCCTTTCCTCCCAGTCCTCTCCTTGCCTTGGCCTTGGATTTTCCTTTTTTTCCCCAGCTCTTGCCTCTTATTCCCAGAGGTATTCTCCCCCATACCCTACCCAAGAGGCGGCCTCCTTGTTCTGCTACCGGTTCATCTTATTTTAGAGACCACATGTATGTGGCTGCCCTAGTTCCTGCCCCATGTCCTGGATCCTTAGTTGAGTTCTTTGCTCAGACATCAGGGTCTGAGTCATCTTCCCTCTCAGACCCCCTGGCGAGTGTATGTATGATGTGTGCTGACGTGCGTGCTCCCAGGGCATGGGGCAGGAAAGTAGCTCTGAGATCCTGTCCTTGGTCTGAGTGGAGAGACAACAGGAGGAATGGGTCTCTCTCTGGCTGATGAGAGTCCTTTTCTTTTCTCTGTTCTCTGAGGTGAGCAGAGAGGGAGCCTAAGCCCTGTAGCCTCCTAGTTTGGGGAAAGGACTCTGGCTGGTCGTCTGATCTACTGACCAGAAGGATCCTTGCTCCACTTCTGATTCTAGACCCTTCCTTCTGCCCCCAGTGCCTGAGTTCTTTCCTCAACAGCTGAGTGCTTCCTCCTAGACCCTAGCTTTTGGAGAATAGGGTCAATAGAGGAATCATATGGGGAACATGATGCCCCAGAAGAGGAGGCAGCAAGGTTATCCACATGACCAGTCAGTCCCTGATCTCACCCAAGAAACTGGGGAAAAGATCAGGGTAGCAATAGGCCCCAAAGCCACAGCCCCATGGCCCATACCCTTGTTCTGAGAGCGGCTCAACGAGAGAGAGCCAAGCCCCTCTCCATATTTCCCCTGCCCAGGGGTGAGTCACAGAATGACATGTCCTTCACTGGGTGGAAGAGTGGCTGGCTCTTGCACTGTATGATGTTTTGGGGCTGGGAACAGTTTCTGTCCTGTCCCCCAGGGAGTTGGGGTGTGAGGGCAGTAGAAGGCTCCGACATCCCTTGCGCCACCACCACTGTTCTCTTTCACCCTCCTCTTCCTCTCTGAGACCATTTATCAGCACACACTGGCTACACCACTTTAGTGCTCCCTGCCATAGTTGTCCAGTGAGCAGCTTAAAGACTGGGCTTGAGTTTGGACATACCCTGGGTAAACTCCCTCCATACCCTACCTCCTGCACTGTGCTGGGTATCCACTTTCTGCTGCTGGCCTGTCCTCTCATGCACTGATTTGCTCAGCTGCCCCTTCCCTCTGTTCTCACACAGGAGCTCAGAACCCCATTTCATGGGAGGTGCAGCGATCTGATGGGTGGTACAACAACCTCATGGAGCACAGATGGGGCAGCAAAGGTAGGTGAGAGCCAAGTGGAGATGGAGCCCCAGGGTCAGGGAGGTAGCCACCGCTAAGGGGCCAGGGCTGGCAGGTACCAGCAAAGGCTCACCCATTCCTAAGGTTTTAGGATCTGTGGTGTGGAAAGGAGCCTGGCAGAGAGGTCAGGGAGCCCCCTGAGGATTCATCCTTACCCCTACCCCTCCTACTCTAGGCTCTCCGCTGCATCGTCTCATCCCAGCCAGCTATGCAGTTGGTGTGTACCAGCCCTTCCGAGAGCCTCACTTGCCCAACCCCCGGGCACTTAGCAACACAGCCATGAGGGGCCCTGCAGGGCAGGCCTCCCTGCGAAACCACACAGTGCTGGGGGTGTTCTTCCATGAGAGCCTCGACCTCTGGGGAAGGGAGGCCAGTGGGGTCAGCTGGACACCTCTGTGTCTGAGGTGGGGAGTCAGGGAATGAGGGAGAGGGTGATGGAGGGTCTGAGAGAGGGGGTGAGAGATGGAAGAGGAGGCAATGGGGTGGGGTAGGGGTCGGAGCAGGGGGAGAACGTCTGCTTGGGGGAGGCATAAATCTGCGTCACCTTGAGTTGTTGATGGGAGTGGGGTTAGAGGAGCATGGAAATAATCTGGTAGGTACTCTTGGGGGGCTCTGTTCTCACTCTGCCCCTGTGGCTCCTAGGACAGGTTCAGGGCAGGGTTCTGATTCTGGTAAGAGGGCTGGGGGGTGGGCCAGCAAAATGGGGGTGCCAGGTGGGCCTGACTGCAGTGACTGTGGGTTATTGGCTCCCAGCA